CATTTGTCTTCTTTTGTAGAGACACATGTAGACAACACAAGTGTCCTTATCTCATACCTTACAGAATTGGTTGTATAACTCCAAGTATGTGATTTCTCCGTCCTTTGCATATTGTATATTTCCTGTTAGTTAAAAAATAAATAAATAATAAGGAGAAGGGGGAGCGCGTTGGATGGGTTAGCACATAACAGTTGTGCCATGTGTGAAGCCTAGGGCTCAGCATCCGAGTTGTGTGGTGAGTCAAACCAATTACATTTGCTGTTTTTTCAACTATAACAAATGTTAACCTTCAGTTTGGTTTTTGATAGAATTGTTACCAGTGGATATTTAAAAAGCTAAAACAATTTATTAGGAGTAATACCTTGTGTGAAGAAAAAAAATGGGTATTTTAAAGCAAATTGTTGATGCATAACTTAAGCTTTGTAACCTTTCCTAATATGCTCAGTAAACATAACATCACGACTTTAATCAGAACATAGAATCTTTATTTTTAAATTTAATTTTATTTATATATTTATTTATTACAATTTATTCACTTTGCATCCTCACTGCAGTCCCCTTACTTGTCTCCTCTCAGTCCCACCCACCCTCCCCCTATGCCCTTTTCCTAGTCCCCTGATAGGGGAGGACCTCCTCCCATTCTATCTGAAGCTAGCTTATCAAGACCCATCAAGGCTGATCACATCATCTTCCTCTGTGGCCTGGCAAGGTTATACTCCCCCAGGGGGAGGTGATCAAAGAGCCTGCCACTGAACTCATGTCTGAGACAGCCCCTGTTCTCATTACTAGGAAAACCACTTGGAACCTGAGCAGCCAATGGGCTTCCTCTCCGTGCATGGTCATTAGTTAGAGTACTGCCTTTGCAGGAACCGCTGGGCCTAGGTATTTTGGTTCTGTTGTTCTCCTTGTGGAGTTCCTGTCCACTCCAGGTCTTTCTATCTTCTTCTTTTTCCATCAGGATTCCAGCACTCTGCCCAAAGTTTGCATGTGAGTCTCAATATCTCCTTCGATACCCTGCTGGGTAGAGTCTTTCAGAAGTCCTCTGTGGAAGGCTCCTGTCCTGTTCCTTGTCTTCTCCTATTTCCGATGTGTATCAGGTCTGCCCTTCCCAATGAGGATTAAGCATCTTCCCTTGGGTCCTCCTTGTTGTTCAGCTTCTTTAGGACTATAGATTTTAGTATGTTTATCCTATATTATATGGCTAATATCCACTTATAAGTGAGTATATATTATAGATCATAGAATTTTTAAGGATTTAACATTAAAATAGTTATAAACAAAAGATGTTAAAAGTGAAAAAGTGGAAAAATCCGTACTCTTGACAGTAATGTAGATTTCTTGAAGTTGTTTATTGATGACAGTTTCTTTTATTTTTATGATTACAATATAATTACATCATTTCTTCCTCCCCATTCCTACATCCAAATTTGACATATCAAAGATAAACATATTTTTAGATCTTTTAGAATATCTTGTAATACTGGAACAAAATATGATACATGTAGAAGCTTAATGAATTGCACACTCATCATGAAATTAATAATGCTAATTTACTAACATGAATAGTCTTTTCTGAGTGTAAGATTGAGTGTATTGTCATCCTTTCAGACGATAAAATGGACAACTCCAGCAGCATTTATTCCTTGGCATTTTATTTCTGAAAGAAACTGGGTAGTCTGGTGGTCACAAAGTGAAGTTATTTTTAATTGCTTAGTTATTTGTACTACATAATAATTCTAGTTCAAACAAAATGCTCTGAACCCTGAATAGCATTAAAAATTATAAAGGAGACATTGTTTTCTGGTCTAAGCTTCTTCCTTGGTTCCTAGTAGACCAGGCTGAAAGTCAGAATGGAGTCAATGATGAATGTAAGTGGTGTTGTGGTATCTTCATGGTGGTAGTCTAGTATTTCCAAGTCATCAAGTGTGCCTGAGAATGAGCTGCTTATCTGCCATCAGAAACCAAGATTACAAAGATAACCAAACACATTTCCCAAGCAGGCCAGTTCAGTTGGTGAGACAGTGAATTTCACTCTCACCTTAATCCTTACACAAAAGAAGCCAAATGTTATAAACAATCACTTATTTTCAGTCCTGTTATTTTCAAGCCCCACTCCACAGGAAAGTAACTTTGAAATGGCCAGTCTTTCTGTTTAATTGGGGCAGTGGAGGGGGTGGTCTCCTTTCCTCTTCTCTGTGTATAAAACCAACCTGTTGTGTTCAACCCATTAGAACAGTCACAGTAATAGTTCCTGTTCCCCTTACTAGGGAAACCCACTCCCCTGTCCCTGAGGGAGGAACAGCCTTGCTAGGCCACAGAGGAGGACATTGCAGCCAGTCCTGGAGATACCTGATAAACTAGGGTCAGATGGAAGGGGAGGAGGACCTTCCCTATTAGTGGACTTGGAAAGGGACGGGAGGGAGATGATGGAGGGAGGGCGAGATTGGGAGGGAATGAGAGAGGGAGCTACAGCTGGGATACAAAGTAAATAACCTGTGATGAATATTAAAAAATAAAAATTAAAAAAAGAACAGTCACAGTATTAGAAGAAAGGAAGCCTTGCTTGATTTTAGAATCGAAATAAAGCTATTAATCTCAATGAGCTAAATAGTTCTCCTCTGTCCTTTGATACTAGTTGTTAGGACAAAGATGCATTTGAGAAGTTTCTCTAACAATGCCATTTCCTCTAGATTGACAGATGTTTATTATGTAATGGGAAAATCCATACTACAATTTGTCACTGTATCTAAACTTCACTGTTTGTCTGTATTTGTGGGAAGAAAGAATTTCCTCATGTTTCTGTTTCATTTTAGTTTTTAACTCACGATATTAAAAGAAGCAGAAACATGCTGTGTACTTTGGAAAAATGATTTGCTGTATTTGATCAATAAATCAGAGAGAATTTTGAGAAGAGAATTAATTGTCTTTGTTACTTGTTCATTACAGTTATTTTTAAAAATTTATTTATTTAGTCACTTTACATCCCTATTGTAGTCCCCCTCTACTCCCAGTCCCACTCTTTCACCCTCTTCTCCCTTACATCCCTCCTATTCCCTTAGAAAAGGGGAGCCTACTACCAGCAACCTACCCCGCACATCAAGTCACATCCTGTCTAAGAGCATTCACTTCCCCTAAGGCCCAACAAGGCAGCCCAGCTAGAGAGAGGAAAGTGATCCAAAAGGAGTCAACAGAGTCCATGTCAGAGACAGGTCCCACTCAGTTAGCTAGTGGACCCTCATGAAGACGGAGCTGCCCATCAGTTACATATGTATAGGGGACCTAGGTCCAGTCCCTGGATGTTCTTTGGTTGGTGGTTCAGTTTCTGAGTATCCATGGTCCTCAGTTAGTTGACTCTGTTGGTCTTCTTGTGGAGTTCTTGTCCCCTCGGTCCTTCCCCCATTTTTTCCACAAGACTCCCAAGCTCTGCTTAATGTTTGCCTGTGGGTCTCTGCATCTGTTTTATCTGCTCCTGGGTGAAACCTCTCAGAGAACAGTTGTGCTAGGCTCCTGTCTGCAAGCATAGCAGAGTATCACTAATAGTGTCAGGGGCTGGCTCTGTCCCATGGGTGGGTCATTATAAGTATTATACAGAAGATTTTGTCACTGGCTGATATCTGGGGCTCAGTTCTATAGAACTGAATCTTTCCTTTTGGGAACCAGGTATCCTGTCTTAGTTTCTTTGCCTATTACTGTGATAAATACTTCAACCACAGGAATTTAAGGGTGGAAGTTTTCATTCTGGCTTGGAATTCAGGTTATCATTCAACATGGAGGAGTATTCATACAGGCAGAAGCTTGAGGGAGTTGTCCTCAGTGAGAGGCAGAGAGCAAAGAATGCAATCATGTTGGTGCTCCACTCACCCATGACAGGATCCTCTTAATGTTCCAATGTGTGTGAAGACTGGTCTTCCTATATCAATAAATAAGATCAAGATAATCTCCTCCCCAGGCTTGTTCAGGTGCCCATATCCCAGGTAATGCTAGGGTCTTTCAAGCTGACAATTAGCACTTAAGGCCCTTAAGTTACTCTGCTGTTAAGTAGAGAGGAATATGGATCTTCGGTCAACGAAAAACTAAAGACGGAAGCAATAATCTAATATTCCCAAGATTTAGTACCTTACATAAGTAACTGGAACTCATTAGCTCAGAATGCCGTATTTAAAATGTTTACCTAGTGACTATCTTACATTGTTTAGAGAATGAGGTGCTGAATGCAAATTGTTGGGCAAAATACCTAAAAGCTGCAGGAACGGCTTCAGTGAATGGCCTGCCGCATGTGCCCACAACACCAAAGTAAAAAGCTGAGTGACAGCATGCTCCTGTCACCAGAGCAATGAGGAGGAATGGAAGGAATGGTGTCAGGAAGGTTGGTGAGGCTCAGTGGCTGCCTAGGTCTAGCTGAATCCATGAGCCTCAGGGGCAGTGAGAAACCGTGTCTCAGGATAAGAGGAAGGTGAAGAACAATCCAGAAAAGAACCCTGAAGTCCATCTCAGGCAACAAAACAAAACCTCCTCGACCTTGCCCTTTTCGGTTTTGCTCATAATAGTCTTTCCCTAGTCTCAGACTCTGTTAAGAGTCACAGACACAGCAATGCATACTGTACAGGGCTTTTCTTTTTTGCAGTGTTTCCAGACATGATATCAAGTTACATGATGGAAGAAATAGCATAGCATCAAAAAAAAATGTATCTATTTCAGCTACAGAGAAGGAAAATCAGACGATTAAATGCAGCAATCCAAACTGCCAGAGAGGTCACCTTCTTTGACCCTCGATATAATTTAAGCCCAGTTTACTTTACACTGTGAGAATTATGAACTAACCGTGCATGTCCAAGCAAGTTCTTCAGGAAGAGAAAGGGAACTACCTTTCCCCTATTTGAGAAGAGGGAAGGAAAGGAGAGCGTGGACTCAGCCTCTGGAGAGCTATGTGCAAGCTTGCTCCTGGCTAAAAGTTAATGATCAATCAGTCGCTGTGTTCTCAGCTCTGAGTCCCCAACAAGTGGCTGATGTGGCTCTTTTCTCTCTCTCCAGGTAACTTTAAATTTCTACAAATTTTGCTTGCATTGGCTCTGGTAGATCATAGATATGACTCTTTTCATTTGACTTCATGTTCTAAGTTTATTGAAAGTAGAGTTAAAACTCATAAATGTTGCCTCGTGGAAACTATCTAATTTCTGAAGTGGTCTGAGTTAAGGCTAATGAGAGATTGTGTGCTTGTGGTAGCAAAGAGAATTGTTAAATGTTCTATAAAATTTATTATTGTAGTGCGTAGCCCTTCTGGCTGAAAGATGAATAATCATAATTCTTTAAAAGAATACCTCACATTATGTAGCCTGCCAACCTTTGGTTTGGAGGAGAGGTTTTAAATCATTGGTACCTTTTTTTTTTTTTTTTGTAAGTAAGAGTAGTTCTTTACTCACTAAAATTTTACTTGTATGTTCTGTTATTTTTCTGTAAAGTATCCTTTTTTCTTACATAAGTTGTTATATCTTATTAAAATGTGTGTGTCTAGAAAATAGTAAAGTAAGCTGTTATTTGTAGTATGCAAGCTAGATAAGTTGGTAGATGGGAGACAGATGGTTATTCTATGGTTACATTTTGTGTGGTATCACTGCAATATACTGTTGTCACTAAAGTCCTTGTTCATTAAATTTTCATGGTCAAAGCTAGCTCTTGAAGTTTCAGTTCATACTTTGTATATCTTCAGAACTGGTAAATCCACAAATGTCTTCCTTATTAAGGACAGATTGCTCTATCACACGAGCACATAATAGAGAAATTTATGGAAAGTCTTTATTTCTGTCTGAAGTGTCTGCCCCCCAGTATCTTTGTTCAACAAAATTCCAAGGCCAAGAAAATTTGTATTGGTGGGATTTAGACTCAAACTATATGAGCTTCGAGATTCATCAGCAGCTGGATATTTCTGTTCTGCTACTACATATGTAGTTCCAGTTATATTTTTCCTCAGCTGAAATTAAATGTCAGACAATGATTGATGATTTTGTAATTGCGATTTAGAGCTTGTAGGAACATCCATTTTACACACAGGAACAGAGTCCAGAGAGGGGACTTAGTAATGTTATGAGCAGTGCTGGAATTCGAACAAGGCCTCTGTTCATGGGTGAGAAGTAGCATTGATAACCGTTTTGTTAGTTTACACTCCTGCTGGTTTTGAAAGAGAAATCACATTTCATTCCCTAACCAATTTCTGTTTTGGAGTAGAGCTGGCAAGCATTCGCAGCTAAAGCACATGGTGCCAATGATGCTTTCTGGTTCACCTTTGGTACTGTGAATTTGTTTATCAGTTTGGCTTGTAAAACTGGAACCTGTCTCTCTCTATATTTGCATAGGTGTACTTAAGTTCTTCTTACAAAAGGAGCTTCTCAAAGTTAAAGATAAGAATATTGCCACTTATTTTAATTGCATTTAGAAACAAGGTTGAGACGTTTGTAAATTATAAATTTGTAAGTGGCTGAAGTTTCTTTAAGGATAGTTAAAGAAGTTAACTTAAGTTAACAAGTTAAGATAGTATATTAAAAGTCAAACTATATAGTAATATATGCATATTCATATAGAGTTTGAAGTAAGCCACAAATTATATGAAAATAGAGTGATCATTTGCCATGATACTGTAAAACATTTTAGATTCTAACAACTAAGATGTGTATGTGTGTGTGTGCCTGTCTGTCTGTCTTTCTGTCTGTGTGGGCGCATGCCCACACATTTGTGTGTGGTGTGGAATGTTTGCAGCATGCACGTGACTTTGCAGGAACACATTCACCTTCACGTGTGCAGAGGCAAGGGCAGAAATATAGGGTGTTCTCTCCCTTGATCTCACCTGCCTTTATGTCCTGAGACAGTCTCTCCCTGAACTGTAAGTTTGCTATTTCAACTAGGCTTCCTGGCCAGTGACTTCCTGGGATCCTCCCCTTGACTCCACCTTTCAGTACCAAAGTTACAGGCAAACAACCATACCTGGTCTTAAACATGAATACCTAGGACTTGAACTCAGGTTGTCATGCTTGCACATCAAGCACGGTCACCGCTGGGCCATCTCCCCAGCCTGAGGTTAGAGTTCTTGTCTTTTTGTTTGTTTGTTTTTGTTTCTCTTTTTTAAAAGTTGGCTGTGTGCAGATTTCTAATTATAGTTCTAGTGTACCATTCACTGAGCACGTAACAACTAGTTTCTACTCAGATGCTCTGGGTCCCTTGACATTTACTTTTGAGTTTTCCATCACAAATTTACAAGTCAAGTTACCATCAACAAGCATATCTCTGTTTCTTTAGCCCATTATTAGACACAGATAAACTGAATCATATACTCTTTGAAGGTTTTCAAGGTTCTGATAGACATTAATAATGTAGAGACATGTAAGATTTCGAATTCTCTGTTTTAAAAAAGGCAGGTGGATCAATGTCATGAAGGATGATTTAACATCCACTGGCTTTTCAGGTCACGGGTAAATCACATGACCTCTGAGAATCCCCAGTACATGAGCTCTCAGTGGGGGCTTCAGCAGTGGTCATGCTTGTTGTACTTGGTGCAGTGTGCCAAGCAGGGCAATTCACAGAGCTGTGGGCCTGGTATGTGATGCATCCTTCTAAGCATTCCTAGTTCTGCCCTAACAAAGCTCCACCAGGTAGGTGGCATAGACTGAAAAATTATTCTCATTCCATTTTGGAGCCTGGAAGTGTGAAATAAGGTGTAGGCTGAGCTGTATTTTCTTGTGTCTTCCAGTTCTTGCCTCACTGAGGCTTTGCTTGGCTTGTGGCAATTTAATTTCAGGATATACTTTATTTTTCACATGACACCCCCTCCCAGTATTCCATAGATGTGTTCTTATAAAGACACCTTTCATGCCATCTTGGGAGCCAGCCTCCTCGTTTTAAGCTGGCATGTCTGCAACAGCCTTACACTAGAGTTTAGACCTAGACTGTCTCTCAGAGTCTTAAGTGTTAGAAGCTTGGTTCTGACTTGATTCTCTGAGAAGCAGTGGAAGCTTTTGGAGATGTTGGTTAGTAGAAAGAGTTTGGGGATGGCAGACATGCTCTTAAGGAGACAATGAGGTCTAAGTCCCATTGTCTTCCTGGCTTTAACTTCCCACCCAGGAAGTGAGTAGGACAAGCTGATCATCATCCAAAACTGTTAGGCAAGATATGTATCCTGTCTTTGTTAGTTGATTAATTGGCTGTTTTGAAATAGAAATTTTACTAACACACTTTGTTTCCAAATAATGTCACATTGTAAAGGAGTAGAAGTCAAGGCTTCTTTTCAGGGATGTTATATAATCAGGTAAGCATGACCTTGATCCAACCAATCCCCCTATTCATTCAGCAGATCCCAGAATCTCAAATACCTGTGCTTCCTACATCAACTTTTAGTCTACATCCTATCGAAATAAATGAGAGACATGGAGTAAAGCCAAGATCCAGAATAGAATTCTTCTCCCCCTGTGGACCTCTGAAGCCTTGGAAACCAGTGTCATTAATTCCAAGCTAAGACAGGGAGAGATAAAATAGAAACTTCATTTAAAATTAAAAAAAAAATATTTCTCTGTGTAAAGCAAGCTCACAGCCTACTATAGCAATTTCCAACAGGTTTTACATGTGCAGGCTTCACATACTGTCTTCTGAGTCTGCCATAGGAAACAGGGGCCTGTGCCCAGGGTCTCAGCCTCGCTAAGCCCTGGACCTCAACTCTGTGCCCCTCAAACTCTTCATACCTGTATTTTCTGTTCTTGGACTTAGGTCCACCCTCTCATTCCTGGGTTTGTTTCTTCTCTCTCAAAACATGAAGGCCCAAGCTTTTGGCTGTGCAGCCATAGTTCTACCCTGGAGTTCTCCTTTTAGATCTTTGTTTGTTTGTAACATTTTGTTTTTGTTGCTTTCAAGGCAGGCTGGCAATGATTCTGATGTTGGGAGAATTTCTAACATCTGTCACCCATTTGTGCATTTCAAGAGATTCCAAGTCCTCAGACAAGAGTGTCCTCTACGCATCTTTCTTATATTCCTTTTTTGTCTGCTCTTGAATTTTTTAAATCTATACATTTTATTGAATGTTTTTTTTTTGTCATTTATTGAGTTCTTTGTCTTGGATTGAGGCCTCTTAAGTTTTTTCTATGAGAATGTCAGCCTGTCTCTTGGTGTCATCTTTGTTCAGCTCATGTTTAGGAAGTCGTCTTGGTGAGACTTTATGGTTGCAGCTTCTGAAAATACTAGGAGACACAATATCACAGTAAACTCTTTCTGACCCCTATTCCCCAATCATCACTGAGCTTTAGGTGCAGGAGTTGTGTTGTTGATGTCTGAGTTAGAAGTGGTCTTCACAACTCTTCATATTAACTGGTTGTAGTTTTCTGTAATGGCCTTCTTCTGTTCCAAAGAGAAATTTCAATGATGAGTTATGAAGACTGCTATAAGGACAGATATTTCTAGTGTAGTTAGATTAGTAACATGGCCATTGTAGGTTCTCTCTAAGATCCATGACTTCACTAGCTCCAGGTAGTTGGCTAGGTTTCCAGTAGCAGGCATGGAGTCCAGCTTGTAGAAGAGGACTTAAGTGTAATGAGAGAGCAGTTGGATTTTAGGGTATGTGTGCCACTGCTCCACTTGCGGGGTTGTTGTGTCATGCTGGTAGTTGTGATTCCTGGGTGTCATAGCTGAATAGGACTGTCCATTACTTTGCCTTTTTTCAGGGGAAGCTTGGCATGGTACCTTCTGCTACCACACAAGCTAGTTCCCAGGGAGAAATCCTTCTGGTCAATTCCAGCTCAAAAGCCTCTTGGGTCTGTATCTAAATTTCATGGTGTCTTCAGCATTAAGGATTTATCTTGCACTATTAGTGGACAGCCAAGGACCATAGCAATCATGTATAACGTTTTTTGACTCTCTTGGACTTCCCTGACTAACAACTCGGAAGAGGGCTTCCCGTGTCTTATGATTTGCCTGCAAGGATATATAATCACTGCCAGTGGATTTGGGAAATTAAATTTAGGTCTTCAAACTTACAAGGCAAGTGCTCTACTGGCTGA